CAATTAGATTGTATAATGATATGACTATATACTATTTGATATAACTTATAAAGGTAGGTTTGAATATGAGTATTATATGAAATAAACCATTTGTTATTATAACTATGGTTATTTTATACCTACATGAATAGACAATAGTAATATAACTAACCTACATGTATTTATACTACTTAATATATTACAGTTTTTAGTTGAGTCAAATTATGTATATTAGTAAACAAAAAAATTACTAACTATATAATGTATTTATTTAAATTCTGGCAGTTAAATTGTATAATGATATGACATAATTAGATATTACTCAAAATATAGGTAGGGCTATCATGTATATTTACATGAGTTTCAAATCAATAAAACAAATACATAATTAATAAATGATGAATAACAAATTGATACTATATATTATGTACTTACATATGACTTATGTATTATAACATAGATGTATTATTACTATTATTATACCCATAGATGTATTAAGTGTACAATATAAACTACATTCATACACACTTGCATACACATAACAGATAAGTCATAACACAGTGATGCACCATTATAAATGTGCAATTATAATTACTAAATAATTTAAACTATCATAAATATCATATGACATTAAAAAATTGGTAGGTAGGCACATAATATATTATATACAGTCATACAATATAACAGAAAAATATTATGATAGTAGACCTACTCAGTAAGATAAATGCCACAAAATACAAACTATATGCATTGTATAGTGTATACATTTACACATACCTACGTTTAATAGGACAGTATTTTTCAGGTCAATCAAATTTGCTATTCATCAATAAAATTATATATTTATTAATTTGATTTAATTCTAATTATTAAATAAATATACATGGTAGGTATAACTTTACTATATATGTAAGTAATATCAAATAGTAGAAAATATTATACAAATATTAAATAACTTTACTACCTACAAACTTTACTTAAATATATAAAGATCTTTTTATTTATTAATATAATAATATATATTATATAGAAACTGTAGCAGTATTTGTATGCTACATTAAATTATTAATTACCAAAATAAGAAAATGGCTATTTGATTACCTCAACCAATCAACTCACCTGACAACTTTAATATTATATTGATATGTATGCATTTATTAGTTCATAACAAGGACTGGAACCGTACCGAAATTGACCGGTATTGGACCGAAACCTTTTGAAAATCTTAGGACCGAAACCGGACCGGAACAATTAAATACATTGTTTTAAGAAAAGAAACCGAAACCTATATTTTGATGTAGAGGTTTTTCCGGAAAATCCAATAGATATTTCATCTGTGGTGAAAATAGGTAATAACTAATAACTAATTATTAGTAATAATAAATAATTATAAAGTCGTAGACCTAAATTTTGGCGTAATGACGTCGAGGAAGGTGACTCGGTAGTCGGATTGCTTACGAAATGTTTTGAATTTTTTTTCACATAATTCATACCTTAATTTTGCGTTGTCAGTGACTGTAATGGACGCTGTCCCGGCCGCACGTTGCCTACCCGGATAACATAGATGACTGACCTGCTAGACAACAAAAAATCAGACGGTGGCTATATGATTCGCACGGACGCCCGAAATAATTTGAATTTTCTTCAAGTGATTTATTCTTTAATTTTGCGTTTTCGGTAACAGTAATGAACGTCGTCCGCGATTCGACGCAGTCGGATTGCATACGTGATGACGTGCCCCAGCCGTCGAATATTGTCGGGCTGCCTTCCAGCTTGACTATGACCAAAGTCGAGGAACGTGACTTTATATTATTTTTTATATTAGATTTTCATAATCATGGTAGGTTCTGCGTTATGATTCTATGTGCTGTAACGTCGAGTAAGGCGACCGACCTGGTAGACACCTAAACTAAAGGGCAGCTATAAAACTCGGCCGTCGCACATTGTCATATATCCTAGAAGTTTTACTAAGGCGGACGTCATTCGAGTTGACTGACCTGGTAGAGAGGAAAAAAATCGGGGCAACAATATGTTTTTTTACGGGATTTCGAATTTCCGGGGGCATTCGGCGAACGTTGTCGGCGAACGTTGTTGCTCACACGGGCTACCACGTATAACCACGGTGGTGCAAATCTTATGACACAACGACCGGCTAGACCGACGACCAGATGATAGTTTTACTTAATTATCCGTTTTCGGTGACAGTAATGAACGGTGTCCGCGATTCGACGCAGTCGGATTGCATACGTGATGACGTTCCCCAGCCGTCGAGTATTGTCGGATTGCCTTCCAGGGTGACTACGACCAAAGTCGAGGAAGGTGACTGACCCGCTAGACCCCAAATACTATTACTACGGCGAACGTCATTCGAGGTGACTGACCTGCTAGACACCCACAAAAATACAACGACGATTTATAATTTTTTTACGGAATTTTGAATTTCCGGCGGCAGTAAAGAACGTTGTCGTCGAACGTTGTTGCTTACCGGGGGGGCTACCACGCCAAACCACGGTGGACCTAACCTTATCAGAGTTCCTTATCACACACCGACCAGCTCGAGACTGACGACCAGACCAACAGACCACTGCATCTTCCGAAATCGAAAACACTCATGACCGACACCCGGGGGTCTGGGGGTATCCCCCAGCGACGCTCGGAGAGCTAGTCTTACTATATAAAACGAAAACCCGTGTGGCGCGACACGCGGTCCTTTTTCGCATCGTACTTAAGGGACGGCCAATGGGGAGCCCTCCCGTCGGCGGCGGAGCCGTCGCCGCGTTATCACTCCTCCTTATCGCTTTACGCGATTTTTCTCGAAATTCACGATTTTTTTTTCAAAACTTTCGACTCATACCCCCCTCGGGGCCTCGGTCGGCCCGGTTTGGACCTTATTCGTTTGCTTCGGTAAATTTACAGTCGGCGCGCGGCCCTACTTTTTTCCCGGGGGGCCCAACGCGGCCGATATCGCGTGCGATACGAGCGCCGCCGTCGAGCGCGTTATTTGCCGTTTTTTTCGAAAATTCGATTCTTGGGCGTTTTAGGGCGTATCGACCCGAAATATTTTGAATTTTCTTCACGAAATTTATTCTTTAATTTTGCGTTTTCGGTAACAGTAATGAACGTCGTCCGCAATTCGACGCAGTCGGATCACATACCTGATGACGTGCTCCAGCCATCGAATATTATCGGATTGCCTTCCAGGGTGACTACGACCAAAGTCGAGAAACGTGAATGACCAGCTAGATCCCAAATACTATAACTACGCCGAACGTCATTCGAGGTGACTGACCGGCAAGACACCCACAAAAATACAACGACTATATTATTTTTTATATATTTTACTATAATAGATTTTCATAATCATGTGTAGGTTCTGCGTTATGATTCATGTCCTATGTACAGTAACGTCGAGGAAGGCGACTGACCCGCTTGACACCCAAACAAAAAGGCGGCTATAAAACTCGGCCGTCGCACATTGTCGGATATCCTAGCCGTATTACTAAGGAGGACTTCATTCGAGTTGACTGACCTGCTAGACTGGAAAAAAATCTTTTCAGCTATAAGACTTCTTTAAGCGATTTTGAATTTCCAGCGGCATTTAAGAACGTTGTCGGCGAACATTGTTGCTTACACGGGCTACCACGTCGAACCGCGGTGATCCTAACCCTTATCACACAAGGACCGGCTCGAGAACGACGACCAGATCAGATATTTAGTTAATTTTGCGTTTTCGGTGACAGTAATGAACGGTGTCTGCGATTTGACGCAGTCGGGTCGCATACCTGATGACGTGACCCGCGGCCGTCACACGTTGTCCGCTATTACTACGGCGAACATCATTTCGAAGTGACTGACCTGCTAGACGACCACGAAAATACGACCAACGTCGAGGAGGTGACTGACCGGCTAAACCCCAAAACATATATTCACGTAAATTATATAGCTGATGACACGAACCGGTCGTCACGTTGTCTACCCGGGTGACAACGTCCAACATCGAGTCGGAATGCCTACCTGGATAACATAGATGACCTGCTAGACACCAAAAAAACAAAAAAGGTTGCTATAAGATTTTTATGGAAGCCAGAAATATTTAAAATTTTCTTCACGTAATTTATTCTTTAATTTTGCGTTTTCGTTAACAGTAATGAACGTCGTCCGCGATTTGACGCAGTCGGATAGCATACGTGATGACGAGGCCCAGCCGTCGTTATTGTCGGATTGGCTTTAAGGGTGATTACGACCAAAGTCGAGGAACGTGACTGACCTGCTAGACCCCAAAAAAATCGCAGCGGCTATGTGATATTTGAATTTTTTTACGTGATTAACATAAGTAAAAAATTTTGACAGCTATCCGGTTAACTTATCCACTGGTAACCTAATCCACTATCTAACATCCACCAATATAACATCCTTATCACAAATCCACTATCCTTATCACTAATATCCAAAATCCAATAGATATTTCATCTGTGGTGTAAGTAGGTAATAACTAATTATTAGTAATAATAAATAATTATAAAATCGTAGACCTAAATTTTGGCGTAATGACGTCGAGGAAGGTGACTCGGTAGTCGGTTGCTTACGAAATGTTTTGAATTTTTTTCACATAATTCATAACTTAATTTTGCGTTGTCCGTGACTGTAATGGACGCTGTCCCGGCCGCACGTTGCCTACCCGGATAACATAGATGACTGACCTGCTAGACACCAAAAAATCAGACGGTGGCTATATGATTTGCACGGACGCCCGAAATAATTTGAATTTTCTTCAAGTAATGTATTCTTTAATTTTGCGTTTTCGGTAACAGTAATGAACGTCGTCCGCGATTCGACGCAGTCGGATTGCATACGTGATGACGTGCCCCAGCCGTCGAATATTGTCGGGCTGCCTTCCAGGGTCGAGGAACGTGACTTTATATTATTTTTTATATAAGATTTTAATAATCATGGTAGGTTCTGCGTTATGATTCTATGTGCTGTAACGTCGAGTAAGGCGACTGACCTTTTAGACACCTAAACTAAAGGGCAGCTATATAACTCGGCCGTCGCACATTGTCATGTATCCTAGAAGTATTACTAAGGCGGACGTTAGAGCGGAGCATTAGGTCATCGGCTCTCCCCTGCGTCGTGGCAGGTGATTTCAACGCCAAGTCGAGGCTTTGGGGGAGCCCGATGGAAGATAAGAGAGGTGTCATTCTCGCAGACATGATGTCCGCCTTAGATTTACACGCGTGCAACAGCGGCGACTCCCCCACGTTTGTACGCGGCCAGTCGGAGTCACACATTGATGTTACTCTCGTCTCCAACACTATCAGGGGCAGAGTGGCAGACTGGAAGGTTCTGGACAGCGAGTCACTCAGCCTCCACAAGTACATTAGCTTCACGCTTAAATCAACGCTCCCTCGGCGGCTGGAAATTGACCGGAAGCCATCTGGATGGTCCACCCGGTCACTTAAACCGGAGTTATTGACGGCTTCTTTGGCTCTCACCCACCTGCCACCGCACGACCAGCTCCAATCAGCGGAACTGGAGGCGAGCACTTTAGTGACCTGGATTACGCAGTCGGCGGACAAGTGCTTGAAAAAAACCAGGACCTTCACAGGAAAACAGCCGGTGCACTGGTGGAGCCGCGAAATCGGCCTGATCAGAGGAGAGTGCAATAAAGCGAGGAGAATCCACCAGAGGACACGGAAGAGGCTCGGCGAGGACGGCAGCCGTGCATCACTCGAACGCTGGAAAGAGCTGCGGCGATCTCTGGCGACCGCGATCAAATCCGCCAAGGAGAGGTGCTGGTCCGACTTAATCGCTAAGGTGGACAGCGACGTCTGGGGGAAACCATATAAGATCATAATGAGGAAACTGCGGAGACCCAGGCCCATCCCGGGCATAGAACTACCGGGCAGACTCGGAGCCATAGTGAACGGTCTTTTCCCCGCTACACCGCCGCGTGGCAATGTAAGAATCCCGCCGACCTCCACGGGTCAGGACCTTTTTTGTTCAGCAGCGGATGTTGCCTCAGCTGCGGGATCCCTGCCCAATAATAGGGCCCCTGGGCCCGATGGCATTAGTAACGAGATGATAAAGGTAGCAGTAAACGCGAGCCCGGAGACTTTCGCGCATGCCTACAATAGATGTTTTGTGGAAGGCTGCTTCCCCACAATCTGGAAGATCGGAAGTCTGGTTCTCATACCAAAACCGGGCAAGCCCCTAGACAACCCTGCAGCGTATAGACCAATATGCCTGCTGGATGGTTGCGGCAAGCTCCTGGAGAAGCTGGTTGTTGCAAAGCTGAGGGAGCACCTCGTCGGCGAGAACGAGATTAGTGACAATCAATACGGATTCAGGAGGGGCAGATCCACCATTGACGCCCTAGAGCGGTTAAAATCGCACGTCCGGGCAGCGACATCGGGGCATTACATCCACCACAAGTTGGTCGGCATGCTCACGCTGGATGTGCGAAACGCCTTTAATTCAGCTCCGTGGGAGGCCATCGTCGAGGCAGCCAGGTCGAGGTCACTCCCCCCTGGACTATTGAGAATTCTTGAAGATTATCTGTCAAACCGCGCGGTTTTAGCGTCTACCCCCTCTTACAGGACGAGTTTCGCGCATAATATGTCCTGTGGTGTCCCACAGGGGTCGGTGCTAGGGCCAGACCTCTGGAACTTGCTCTATGACGGTCTACTGAGGACCAGGATGCCGGAGGGAGTTGAGCTACTAGCTTTTGCAGACGACGTGGCAGTCCTGGCCACACACAAGGTCCACTTCGTATTGGAAGAGAAGCTGGAGGAAGCGTACAGGTCAATCGAGCGTTGGATGACGGAGCACGGTCTGCAGCTGGCCGCAGAAAAAACGGAGGCCATTGTTTTTACAAACAAGAGAGTGAGGAACGAGATCAGTGTCAGGTGCGGAGGTTTCACAATCGAGTCCAAACCTAGCATAAAGTACCTGGGCGTGCAGGTCGACAAAAAGTTAAAATTCACGAAGCATGCGGAGTTGGCGGCAGACAGGGCGGCGGAAGCAGCTAAACACCTGGGATATCTGATGCCAAACATGGGAGGGCCAAGAGAGAAGTCTCGCCGCCTTTTGACTAGCGTCACGACCTCTAGAATTTTGTATGCAGCACCTTTCTGGTCAGACACGATGAGTGTGAAAGGCTGGAAGAAGCTGGCCGCCATTCACAGACGCTCGCAGCTAAGGGTGGCCTGCTGTTATAGAACGGTGTCGTACGAAGCAGCGGCGGCGATCTCTGGAATCCCGCCAATCATCCTCCTGGCGAAGGAACGATCTGAGATTTACAGAGGCCGCGACAAGGCTGAGGCGAGAAGGGACCTGATCGCCAAGTGGCAGGTGGAGTGGGACAACGGCGCAAACGGAAACGGGAGGTGGACCCACAGATTGATCGGTGGATTGGACAAGTGGCTGTCCCGAAATTATGGGCAGGTGACGTATCACCTAACTCAGGTGCTGTCTGGTCACGGATGTTTCGGATCTTACCTTCACAGATTCCACCTACTGGATTCCGACGCATGCGCGCAGTGTGGCTACTCTCCCGACGATCCGGAGCATGCGATATTCCAATGCGACGCGTGGGAAAATTGGCGGGTCCAGACGTGTGGCGAACTGGAGGTGGAGGAACTCCGAGCGGACAACCTGATCCAACTTATGACATCAACCCCAGAAAGGTGGAAGCTGATCGTTAGGCTGGTGTCTAGAATCATGGTCACCAGAGAGATTGATGAACGGCGGCGCCAACACCAGCCACGGTGAACCAGAGTGCACCCCGATATCAACTTAATGTAAGCTAGTTAAGACCTCTATATTGTAGTCGGAATGACAAGTTTGAGAGGATAGAGCCTCTCGTTTATTGTATTTCAATGTTAAGGTTGTTTCTAGGGGATTGTCCTAGGATTCAACCTACCGTTTTGTGTACTATATTTTGTATTAAATAAACGATGGTGGCTCTCTGTCTACCCCCGAAGTAATTCCAGCGGAAAGTTCCGGGGGTAGCAGAGGCGCTCAGCCGATAAAAAAAAAAAAAAAAAAAAAAAAAACTAAAGGGCAGCTATATAACTCGGCCGTCGCACATTGTCATGTATCCTAGAAGTATTACTAAGGCGGACGTCATTCGAGTTGACTGACCTGGTAGAGAGGAAAAAAATCGCTGCAACAATATGATTTTTTACGGGATTTCGAATTTCCGGGGGCATTCGGCGAACGTTGTTGCTCACACGGGCTACCACGTGGAACCACGATGGTGCAAATCTCATGACACAACGACCGGCTAGAGACCGATGACCAGATGATATTTATACTTAATTATGCGTTTTCGGTGACAGTTATGAACGGTGTCCGCGATTCGACGCAGTCGGATTAAATACTTGATGACGTGCCCCAGCCGTCGATTATTGTCGAATTGCCTTCAAGGGAGACTACGACCGAAGTCGAGGAACGTGACTGACCTGCTAGACCCCAAATACTATTACTAAGGTGAAGACATGGCTAACCACCCACAAAAATACAACGACTATATTATTTTTTTACGGAATTTTAAAATTCCGGCGGCGTTGTCGAAAAGACTCTGTCAAAGACTTTGTCCGCTACTCGACGACCCGGCCGTCCGGATGGCCTGCCCTAGCTACCAAGTCTAACTGCAGTGGTCCTAGCCTTATCATACATCCTTATCACCATACCTCCTCAGCAACAATACACCGTGTCGGCTGAGACCCACGACCGCACCACGAGACCACCGCTGCCTCCGAAATCGAAAACACTCATGACCCACACCCTGGGGTCTGGGGGTGTCCCCCAGCGACGCTCGGAGAGCTAGCACTATATAAAACGAAAACCCGTGTAGCGAGCCACGCGGTCCTTTTTCGCATCGTACTTAAGGGACGGCCAATGGGGAGCCGTCGCCGCGTTATCACTCCTCATCTCTTTACACGATTTTTCTCGAAATTCACGATTGTTTTTCAAAACTTTCGACTCATACCCCCCTCGGGGCCTCGGTCGGCCCCGTTTGGACCTTATTCGTTTTCCTCGGTAAATTTACAGTCGGCGCGCGGCCCTACTTTTTTCCCGGTGGTCCCAACGCGGCCCGATACGAGCGCCGCCGTCGAGCGCGTTTTTTGCCGTTTTTTTTCGAAAATTCGAGTCTTGGGCGTTTTAGGGCGTATCGACCGCCCCGTTTGGATCTTATTCGCTTTCCCCACTAAATTTATAGCCGGCGCGCGTCCCTACTTTTTCAAAAACGAGTCCCGGGGAGGAGTGGCGTCGCTTAAACGAGAGTAGGTACCGATGGGGTATCGAGTAGGTACCGCTATATACAGGCATAAATACATGCGTCTCGAGGTTCGATTTTTTTTGGGAATCTCGCGTTTTGAACGTCCGAGGGCCGCGGACACGGTCGTCCGCTCGCCAACGCGGTCGGATCGCCCGATCAAACGCCCTTCGACGGCCGTCCAAACGGCGTTCGCCTTTCGCGGGGACGGCGACGCGGCTTAAGAGTCATAGATTTGACTCAGATTTTCATCTCGGTGGGTGGCTAGGTAGGTTAGCCGCTAGGACATTTGACTCGATGGTCGTGGTTTCGATCCCGGCCGCCGGGATTATCGATAATTTGCGGCGGCCGTGATAAACCGGATTTTTTTTTTGCATTTTTTTTTCTTCACATTTCAATTTTTTTTCAAAATTTGACTTATTATATTATATATATCGGGATTTATATATATTATTATTCGTTTGATGATATTTTTGGGCATAAAATATTGATATATTAAATAATAATAATAATTAACATTTAATTAATACTTGATTTTACCGTGACCAACCTACAATATAATTATAATATAACTAACCTACGTGTAGTAGGTACCTACTTGATATATTACAGTTTTTAGGTGATTCCTATTTGGTTAAATAGGTACTGCTACAGATTATAAATACTGTTTGATTCAATATAAATAAGCTATATTTAAAAATCGTACGACTATATGACTGCTCCATTTGCCGTTTTTTTTCGAAAATTCGATTTCAGCCCCTTTCGGTCGTATCACCCTCCCCGTCGACGACTTATTCGCGTTCCCGCTAAATTTATAGCCGGCGCGCAGCCCTACTTTTCTTAGACGAGTCCCGGGGAGGAGCGTCGTCGCTTAAAGCCGACGGCCTATAGCGCCGCCGTCGAGTAGGTACCGCTATATACAGGCATTAATACATGCGTCTCGAGGTTCGATTTTTTTTCGCGAATCTTGCGTTTTGAACGTCCGATGGCCGTGGAGCTGGTCGTCTGCTACGAAGCCCTTTGACTGACGTCCAAACGGCGTTCGCCTTTCCCGTGGACGACGAGACGGCTTAAGTGTCATAGATTAGACTCCAGTCTACATCTCAGTAGGTGGCTAGGTAGGTTAGGCGTTAGGTTAGGAAACTCGTAGGTCGTGCATTCGATCCCGGGCCCCAGGATTATCGACAATTTGCGGCGGCCGTTTTAAAATCGGAATCTTTTTTCTCGAGTTTTTTTTTTTCCGTCGTTTCGCCATCACTTCAGTCTTAACATATTTAACGAAAATGTTCAGATTTTTTTCAAAATTCGAGTTTTACCGCCTCTACGGACCTCCCCGTTGAAGACTTATTCGACTTCCCCGTCAAATGATTTAGCAGAGCGGACAGTGTCTTTATTACTTTACACGGGCGTGAATATTTGCGTCGAAGAGTTCGATGTCTTTTTTTTTCAAAAATTCGAGTTTTAGCCCCTCTCGGTCGTATTACCCTCCCCGTTTGAGTCTTATTCGCGTTTCCCGCTAAATTTATTGGCGGCGCGCGGTCTTACTTTTTTACAGACGAGTCCCGGGGAGGAACGGCGTCGCGGAAACGAGAGTAGGTACCGTGTAGGTATCCCTATATATAGGCTAATAAATACATGCGTCGCGTCGTTTTTTGTCTAAAATCCGAGTCTTGGCCAGTTTTAGTGGTATTACCCTCCCTTATTCGCCTTCCCCGCTACACATCGAGTCCCGGGGCGGAGTGGGGTCGCTGAAACGAGACGGCCAAAATTGCCGCCATCGAGTAAGTATTACTATAATATACAGGCATAAATTCATGCGTCGGAAGGTTCGATTTTTTTTCGTGAAGATCGCGTTTTTGCTGTCCGACGCGGTAGGATCGCCGGCTACGAGGCCCTTTGATGGACGTCAAAACATGAAATATATAATATATACTATGTAGTAGGTACTGCTGCAAATTCTATATAACCCGAATCAATTAACAAGCCTGGCAATAATTAAATTGCATAATGATAGGACTATATATATATGAGTATTTTGTATTATTTTAACATGGCCTGGATTATATTGGAATACATACGAAAATGTATGCGTGTCGGACGGCCAATAATCACGATAATATCAACGATACCTACACGCAATGCTTACAGTATGACCATTATTCATTGATACGGGTTGGTCGTCGGAGTGTTGTCGACGTGCGGGGGACAACTTTTGCGACGCGAAACGCGCCCGTGTGTCTAACGTCATCTTGTGACGAACGCTCATGCAACACACAACCCAAGCGCACAGAAAAACATAATATAAAAGCTTATACCTATAATATATTAGCTTTTATTGGCGTATTGTGTTCTGCGTTGGGCGCTTTTCAAAACCGGTGAGTACAATTTTGAAATACATAATAATAATTTATCGTATAACGTTTGTATAGCCCGCGCGTACCTACTGGCTTATTCATGACATTGTACGTATTTCATTCGATGCGTTTCCGTATACGCGATATTGTTTATTACTATATACACGCCATTTCCGCCTTTACGCGTTTCGTATTCGATATTAATACGACATTTGGATTTCCGCTTGCCGTGTTCATAATATCCGGACATAGACTTAAACGCCCACGTGCTCAAAAATCTTTAAGCCACGCTTTTTGCAGTTACGACTTACGAGACCATATGTATAAATAGTAATATATATAGTATGTTAATTTTGTTTAGTTCATACTCGAACTCGATACTGTATGTACACGTAATAATATTTTATACCTACCGTGTAAGAATAATACAATTTACTGCATTTCTAAAAATAAATACATAACACCGGATTATTCACTGATAACATAGGTACTGATAAGACAATTCCATTACACGAACACGGAGTTTTACTTATAATATTATTATTATAATACAGTGAAACCTCTCTTAACGGACACCTCTAATTAGCGGACACCTCTCAATAACGGAAAAAATTTCCGATCCCGGCATAGTCCCGTTGAAAATAATAGATAATGCTCCTCTAAATAGCGGACACCTCTGAATAACGGACGCGGACAGGTTAGGTAGTCCGAAGTGTTTAAATATATCTAAATAACGGACAGCTGTCCAAGAAATACAAACTTATTGTGTAGGTACAATATGTACCGATATTTTACCGATAAAGACATTTATCTAAATCGTAATTTAATGAATACGATAAGGTATGAAAAATTACAAAATTAAATAAGAACCTATACGAACGATAGTGATGTTATGACTTAGGTACTGATATCAATAGCATTGTCCGTTAGTATCGTATTCACCATGGCTCCCGTACGGTCGCGTTTGACGTTGAAAAATAAAATCGACATAATAAAATGTTATGATGCAAAAAAACAAAGTGTTCGTGAATTAGCGACTCAATTTAAAGTTGGTAAAACTCAAATTGGAACCATACTCAAGTCCCGGGTAGATCTATTGCGTAAATGGTGTAATGAAAACGTGAATGGAGAGACAA